GCCTCTAGTAGAAAGAAAAATAGCGTAGATCAAGGGTTCTCAATCTTAAGCCTGCACCAGCATCACGTGGAGGGCTCCTGAAAACACACAGGTGGCTGGGCACCACCCCCAGAGTGGCTGACTCATGAAGGGCTGGAGAGGGGATAATTTGTATTTCTAACAAGATCCCACGTGAAGTCATTGCTGCTGGTCTGGGGCCACACCTGAGAGCCTCTGGCTTAGATAAATAGTTACAGTACAGGCGTGATGGGCAGAGGAAAGTCAGGGTAGTAGAGGTGGGAGCAGAGGGTGTTCAGAAGATCATGAAAGGAAACGCCACATGAAAGGTGGGGCTTGTGGGAGGCTTCGTGGTATTAATAGGGGCTGGGGTCCAAAGTTGGGGTCCCACTGCTTAGAGTCATGTGGGAAAGTGAGGGTTCCCAGACCCTCCAAATTTTCCAAGACTGGACATTTTAATTTGTATGTAAAAACTCCCCAGTGTTTAAATGAATTCGCCCAGTTTGCCAATTAATTCGAATGTAGTTGAAAAAATCATAGAAACATCCGAGTAAGCCGGTGGGATCGACGTGACGCCAGAGCCACAAGTTCACACTATTGACTGCGGGCACTGGGGAGCCACAGGGGCTATTGAGCAGGAGAGGACATGGTTAGGGTTGAGCTTCTGGTTCCCGGGTGACTTTTGAGGAAGGGTTTCTGAGTCTTGGGGATGCTCTGTGGGACCTCTAGGGGTTATGGGGAGGCAAGCTCCCCTTCCCCTGCACAACACAAATGACTGACTGGGTGAGGTCATGGGAGGGTCCGGAATATGGGTGAGGCTCTGGCTCTAAGCACAGCCTCTCTGGGGACAGTTTGAGGAGGACATCCTGAACATTTGCCTCTCCATCCTGGACCGAAGCCCCAGTCACCAAAACGACCCAGCCACCGATGTGTCCTGCCGCCACGACCCCGTCTACGTCACCAGGATCATCAGCGCGATGGTGAGGAGCCCCACCATCCCCGCCAACCTCTTGTTTTAATTCTCTACTGCTGCCTAACAAACCACCCCAAACTCAGGGCTGTAAAACAACCATTTATTATGCTTACAGTTTTAAAGATCAGAGACTTGGGCAGGGCACCCCACAGATGGCTTGTCTCTGCTCCAAGATGCTTGGGCGGGGGGTGTCTGAGTGGCTGCAGGTGTCTGGGGCGGTTTGATGGAACCATCTATCTGGGGCCTTGGTTCTGGCGGCCAGTGTTCTCTGGCAGCCCTTGGTCTCTCCCGTGCCGCACCCGCCGGAGCTGGACCGTGAAGATGGCTTGTGCACTTTCCTGCTGGCGCTGGGATGGGGTAGTGGGAAGAGCTGGGACTGGCCAGTCATCACTGTCTCTCCATGCAGCCTTTCCACGTGGCTGGGTTGGGCTTCCTCGGAGCAGGGAAGTCTCAGGGTAATCAGGTACGGCACCCGGCTTCTCCCCACCTGGTTGTTCCAGAAAGAGGAAGCCGGAGCTGCCAGTGGCATGAGCGCCTGGGCCTGGACACTGGCGTGGCATCACTTCCACCACAGTCCCACAGTCCTTGGCAAAGTAGCCACAGCATCCTGATTCGGGGAGAGGGTACTCAGACTCGCCTCCTGGGGAGGGCTGCCATCTTTAACCCATTACACACCAGGCCTCCCTCCTCAGAAGAAGGCCTTGTAGCTCTCTCTAAGAAAGCAAGTGTTAGACAAATGGACAAAGCTGCTTTTCTCATATTTGATACTCTCAGTTCCCCAAGACCTCAGAGAGCTGTTGGAGCACAGGGACTCCAAAGCAGTGGCCAGGGCTGACAGTAGACACCATGGCCCTGGGGCACAAGCCCTGAACTCCTTTTACTCACTTGCTGTGTGATCAGGGCAAGTCCCTAACCTCTCTGAATCTCTCTCTCTTTTTCTTTTTTTTTCTTTTTCATCTGAACACAAAAGTAAAATAATAGAACCTACTTTAAGCAAATTAATATAGTGGGCCCAAAGCTTTAGAGGAGTGCCTGGCACCTGGGGAGCATTTATTGAATGTTAGCTGTCTCCATAATTATTATTCGACCCCAAAACACACCATTTAAAACAGGAAATGCTCTAAGACTGTAGATGATTTTCAACAATAGAGTAACCCAATGGGAGGTCACTGCACATAGTAGATGGTAGTGAAAAGTAGAAATTTTAAGACAGTAAAATTTTCAGACAATTTAAAAGCAAGGGGTGACCCCAAATGACTGGGTGGTCCAAAGCTGGAGGTGATTGTACGATGGTGAGGCCGCTGAAGGGGGGAGCCCTGCTGGTGGTGGACCCATCCGTCTGTGCAGGTGAACAGCAACAATGACCGGGGCGTGGTTCAAGGCCAGTGGCAGGGCAAGTACGGCGGCGGCACCAGCCCACTGCACTGGCGCGGCAGCGTGGCCATCCTGCACAAGTGGTTCAAGGGCAGGTTCAAGCCCGTCAAATACGGCCAGTGTTGGGTCTTCGCTGGAGTCATGTGCACAGGTACTCCAAAATTAGACCACTTCTCTCATTTACATTAATTTGCATAGATCTCTTCTCTTCCCTCCCCCTAAGGCACCCCTCCGCCCCCCAAAAAACACACCACACCCAGTCTTTCTTTACTGGTAAAGGGGAAATAGAAGTCTGGCTAATGAAGAAAGAAAGAAGATAATTTATTTACGTGATTGTGGATCATTTATTTGGCCAAAGGAGTCCCTCCTCCCTCTGCCTGGAACTCACTGAGTGCCCTTGGGCAAACCCTGTGGCCCCACGGCCTTCGGTCTGGTCCCCCTCGGGATTCCAAGGCTGTTACATGGCTTCCAAGGCCCTGCCAGCCTTGGAGCCTGTCCATTCAAAGGTGGGGGAGGGGGCAGTAGTGTCCCCAGAAGTCCCCTGAAAGAAGGTAGAGGAGAGGGTGGTGCCTGTGCGAGTGGAGACAGGAGTCCGGCCCTGACCAAGTAGTCAAAGACAAGGGGGAGCCTGTGGCCAGAAATGAGGGAGGCAGCAAGCTGGGGGCGCCAGACCCCTCCCCAGTGCAGGGGCCTGGCTGCTCCTGGAGCCTCACCAGCCTCCTACTTTCCAGTCCTTAGGTGCCTGGGGATCGCGACACGGGTTGTGTCCAACTTTAACTCGGCCCATGACACAGACAGGAGCCTGAGTGTGGACAAATACGTGGACTCCTTCGGGCGGACCCTGGAGGACCTGACGGAAGACAGCATGTGGTGGGTCCCGGGCCCGCTGGGTCCCAGGGGCTCCCTGAGGCAGTCCCCAACCTGAAGCCCAACTCTCCTGAGTTGAGCCAGTTCTGGGAGGAGTGAGAGGCACCATGTGCGTGGGGGGAGGGGGGGGGGTCCTAGGCAGAGGGACTCCGCTGCGATGCAGGAGTCTTTGGACACGTGACTCGGAGGTCATGAGGGGGCTCAGGGTCTGACCGCTCGAACCCCTGGTCCTCCCCTCTGTGGGACAAAGCCCTCCCCAGAGTCCTGTGACTATTACATTTTTGAAAATAGGAAAACGCATTCATGTGCTTTGAAATTCCAAAGGTACAAAATGGGCCACAGTGGTAAGTCTCCCTCCCACCCGACCCAGCCTCCCTGTCCTCCTCCCGGAGGCAGCACTGTGATCAGCTTCTCCCATCTCTTCCCAGAGTCTCTGCAGACACAAGAACATGCACATAGTGAGTCCCCTTACACACCTGCTTTTTAATATGGGCAGCTTTGTGTAACAAGGCAGACCTCGTCTTGTTGCACGTTTTATGTATTGCGCTTCACTTTATTGCACTTCACAGATGTTGCATTTTTGACAAATTGAAGGCAAGACCCCCTTCCCCCATAAGCAAAAAAAATCACAGCTTGTTTATTGTGATACCTCACTTTATTGCGGTGGTCTGGAGCCAAATCCAAAACATCTTCCAGATCTGCCTGTACTGTCAACTTGCTTTTGCATTTAACAACTTTATATCAGTACACTCAAGGTTTTCTTATTATTTGTAGTGTGTAAAATAATATCGCACGAGGCCCAGTCCTGAGTGCTACATATATACTAACTCACGTTCCTCCAAAGAACCTTGTGAGTTAGGCGGTATTATTATCTCTATTTTGCAGATGAGGAACCTGAGCACAGAGAGGTTAGGTAACATGTCTAAGGCGATACAGCTAGTGAGCGGACCAGCAGGGGTGTGCACCTGCTCTGCCTTCCAGTTTTATGGGAACAATCATTGTTTCTCTGACCATCTCACATGGATGGACCGAACGGCTGCCTTTTATAGACAAGGCTTCAGTGAATAACCTCGTCCGAATGTTCATACGTATACGAGTCGTCACACAAGTCAACTTTCTAAAGAGCAGAGGAAACCAGGAAGAACATACAACACAGAGCACAGACAGCCTTGGCAAGCCTGGCTTTCGAATGTCCTCGCCCCGCCAGGGAGTGTGCCCAGGAGCCCTCCCCCCGCCCTTCTCCTGCCTCACATCACCTGCCTCTCTTCTCCCCTTTCCTTCTCTTTTTGCTTCTCTTCGCTCTCTGTCCCCACAGGAGCGCCACAAAAAGGAACAGGCCTTCTTTTGGATGCTGGGGCCTCTGTCACCATGCAGGCTGTCGCTGTCCTCCGTTTTGCCCCCAGATGCTTACCAAGATGTCTTCCCAAAGACCGTTACCTACCAAACAAGGGCTCGGAGACCAGGTGTAAAGATGCCACGCCTGACCAACTAGGTTTCTCTCTGCTGCTTCCTTACTGTGTGACCCTGTGTCACCTTTCCTCGTCTCACAGTCTCATCTTTAACGTAGGAAACTTAAAATAAAACCTGAGCTCCTTACCAAAGCCTACAGAACTCTGCATAATCTGAACCCTACGTGCACCCCATGCTTGCTGTAGCCCAGAGATACTTACATACCTTCTGTTCCTTGAATACACTGAAGCTTTTTCTTGTCTCGAGAGCCTTCGCACATGCTAGTCCTCCTGCCTGGAACACTGTTCCCTTCACTCCTCCCATGGCTACTTCTTTCTCCTTTAGCTCTCATCTCAGATATCATTTACCTACAGCAGGTCTCCAGCAGTTATGCTCTATCTCAGGCCCCTCTTTTCACAGCATTGTTATTTGCATTTGTTTTATTTATCTGCTTACTTAATTTCGCCTATCTCCCCATCTGTCTCCTTTGTTAGAATGTAAGCTGCATGAGAGCAAAGGTCTTCTGTCTTATTTACAGTTGTATTTCTAGTACCTTAAACAACAGGTTCTTGATACACACACACACACACACACACACACACGCACACGATATGTTCTCATCAGTCCAGTTCACAGTTCAGTGGTCGGCAAACTCATTAGTCAACAGAGCCAAATATCAACAGTACAACGATTGACATTTCTTTTGAGAGCCACAGTTTTTAAACTTAAACTATATAGGTAGGCACATTGTTATTAACTTAATTAGGGTACTCCTAAGCTGGCCTTTGCTAAACACGTCCTCAATCTGATTGAGGTACGTTCGCTGAGTTCAACCCCTTCCAACTCTCCCATCCACACTCGTCTTGTATACTTGTTTCGTCTATCTCCTTTCCGAAAACCGACTTTTGCCCATGGGCCACGCAGGTTCC